ACAGGGGGCGGGGGGGGGGGTTTGTCAGGTGTGAGACGTCACAGTTGCCCCAGCTTTGTCCCTCCTCTCAATTTTAATTAAGGAGGAGGTGCTGCCTAGAAGGCAGCGCTCTCTGCTCTCCGGAAGCTGCTGGCTGGAGCCAGCTGATCTTCTCAGGCTGGTCAGCTGACACTGGTTTTCTGCCCCAGTGGAAGGGATTTTGCTCTCATGCATGTCATTTAAATTCATTTCACACAGCTGCTTAATGCGGCTTGGCAAAGCGAGCACACCAGCTTTGTGGGTCTAAACAGCACTCCTGAGTTGGGAACGGACAGAGCCTGTGGCTCAGCAGCTGATGACAAATGCTTTTCTGGTCCTCTAGACTCATGACCTGACCCTGAAGGAACCATATTAAAGTGCAAGAGAGGAAAAGCCAGGTTCCCAAGAACGAGTATGTCTGTCTCACTCCACAGCTACTTTACTCGGAGGATCGTGCTCAGAGGATGCTTCTTTGTTGCTCTGCACTGAGGACCATGTTTACAGAACTAAGGACTCTCCAGGACAAAATGACCCTCTGCTCTTGGAAAGACGACTATGAAAAAGCTTGGTGTTAGGCTAGGAAGAGACGAGGGCAGAGCTGAGTTTACTGTTCACGGGGTGTGGCACGGTCCACTGTCCCTTACTACCAAGAACGAGGAAGTTGGTATGGGAAGATCTGATCAACGTATATACAAACGATATCATTAATATTATTGTTTAGTAACTCACCTAGTAATGCATGCAGTTTATTAACTATGCAGATTTATAGCAGGAAAGAGAAGCACCTTTGCTGTCTGCAACCCCTGTATTGACACCAAGACTAAGATGCCACTGTGTACAGGCAGACAACTCTTGATTATTCTGTTGAATTCCCTGTCCAACATCCCAGGCCTCCTTGGAGGAAGAGAGAGCAGAAGTCACTGGCTCAAGGGAAGGTTCAGAGGTCCCGTGAAGCCTGCCCTCTGCAGCCCACTGTTCCAGTGTCCAGGCTCCTGGGATGGGGCTTTCAGTGTGGCAGCACAACACTGGCCCCTCCACAGAACATTAATACCAGAGGGGCTCAGATCAGAGTGGGAGACTTCACTGCTTCTGTGCAGTTAAGTTTCTACTTTTCTTCTCAGGCATGAAGGAGTGCTGGCAGGTGAAAGCCAGGCATAGTCAGGACCTGGAGGGAGGCACACAAGCCCCCATCACACTGTCATGAGATGGTTCACATCAAAGAAAAAAACAGAAAGGAACACAACAGACAGGAAGATGACCCTGGGTCTGCTCAGGGTTCTTCCACTGATAGCTTCAAAGTAAATGCCCAGGTCTCCCAACAACAAGCCTTGGGTGTGTGGCTACATACCAGTACTGGTCAGGTTTATTATCACAGGAGCCTGGCAGCTGCATTAGCTGAGGTGCTGGGAAGAAAACATGGGGTGTGTACCAGCCTCAGACTGGCTGGGATAAGCAGGTGACCTAATATATGGTGGCCTAAAGTAAATAGAACAGGTTCTGTGGATTTGTTTGGAAGCACAGGTCTGAGTCCCTGTCTACACACTATTCCATACATAGGTGAGACGGTTACAGACAGGGATAAAGGAGACTGCTCTGGACCATATGGCGACCTGGGGCGGGGCTCTACAAAACTCAACAGACGTGGAGGAAAGGGCCATAGAGAGAGAAAGGAGGATTCTCATATTTATTCTCAATCTGTCAATTCAGTATAGTTTTAACTTGAGGTAAATAAAAACAATATAAACAGCCATTTAAACAGCCAGACTAAACGGGGGAGGATGAGAAGTTAGGCTGTGGATTGGTCTGCTGATTAAACAGAGAACAAATGTAAGGCTATGCATTAACCCGTGAATTTCTATTATGAACTGACTCAGAAAGGAAGCATGGCCGAACTTTCATCAAGTGGGGTTCAGCCTTGCTGTCTCTGGCCATTACCCATTCGATGCCATCAGAGGCCTTGTCAGATGCAATCACATACTTCCCACTTAACAGAAGGGAAGTAACTTGGTGTTATGAATTGCAACAATGGGCAGTTCATTTAGGCCATTCACAATGGGAGCAGCTGTGCCAGCCTCCAGCAGACTGTCTATTCAAACAGTCCCTGTGGCCTGGCGGGTCTGGCTGCGGAGTGGACACTCAGGGTCAGAAGATTTGCAGTGAGTGTAAAAGGCTAAGACAGAACAGGGAGGTAATGACGGATCTCCATTTAATTCCTCAAAGAAAACGTGTCAGTGTTCAGAAAAGAGAATGAGATTCAGGGACTTTGCATTCTGGGAGCATCAGCTTCAGAGGGAAAGGAACAGATCTAAACACACGCATGTTCACAGACATCCACAGATACATAGACACATCTAAACTCACACATGTTCAGTCATTGACACTAGACACTTAAACATATCTCAACACATGCAACCAGATATAGCTAAACTCACATATTTCAGAAACATTTAAACTCACAAATGTTCATAGATACTCCCCACAGACACATCTGAACACACGTATGTTCACACACACACACAAACACACACACACACACACAGTTAGCTTTTATGTCTCTGGCAAGTCAGGATTTTCTTTACTTCTGAAAGTACCACTGGAATCTAGAGCATCCAGTGTGCCTTTTAAAGGACAGACCTGCTTCTGCTCCTTCTAAAACACATTCATCTTTGCTTCTTATATTTTTAAATCATGCCATTTTGTGGTAGGTCAAGAACTTAGGAATTAAGAATTAGGGTTAAACCAAGGATAGACCATAAAGCTTTGCTCGACCAGTTTAAACTTTCTAAAATATTATTTTTGCTTTAACAACCACATTTTGGTTGAGACAGAAAATGTTCAGACAATAAAATACAAAATTCCACGCATACTCATTTAGACCAACACACAGGACACATATGGAATTTCGATTTGTGTATGTGTGTGGGGGGGTGGGGGGTGGAGGGGTGTCTCATTGTATAGCCCTGACTGACTGGTCCAGAACTTGCTATGCAGTCTATGCAGGCCTCAAACTCTTATGAGTCCTGCCTGACTCTTGTCTCCCAGGGATGGGATCAAGGGCATGCACCACCACAACAGACCAAAGTTTCTATTGTATAGACAATCTTATGGTGTAACTATGTGTGTGTGTGTGTGTGTGTATGTAAGTGCATGTGTGAATGAATATTCATGCTTGAATTGCATGGGTGTCTGAGTATGTGACTACATGTTGTTTCTTTTGCAATGCTTTAGACATTAAATGTTAGGTTGTAGTGCTTTTGGCTTAAAACTCATGGTTTGAAGTAGACTGGGCAGACATTTTCTTTTATGCAAGGTGTGGTTGGTCTTCTGCCTAAAGTCATAGGCCCTTCAAGCCATTTCCCACAATGACACGTCCACTACTCAGACTCCTTCCTCAGCATACCAGGAAGCACGGCATGTCACGTCTCTGGTCTCACCTCACATATAAAGGCAAGCACTGCTGCTCTTGAACACTAGAGGAGAGGCTGGGCTAGTGTTGGTCACGTGGCACCCAGCCCACTCTGTCTTAGAGACATACCTGCTTTGTGCTGAGTTTGCAGCGGCTTGCATCACAGCGGCGGCAGCTTCCTGGGCCTTACGGTTCACAGTGGGCATTGGAGGGCCCATTCCTGGCCCGCCCTGTTGAGACATGCCAGGAGAACTGGGGGTGGCGCTGCTCATGTTTCCAGGAAACGGTCTGCTCTGCATCCCAGCTGAAGGCATTCGTCCTAGGGGCATAGCACCGCAGGGCTGGGTTGGCCCTTGTCCATGCATCTGGCTGTTGGCATTGATGCCCATCCCGGGCCCTGGGCCACTGTAGCTTGCACTGGGCACCCCGCTATACGTTGGGGTTCTGGAGTAGTTGCCTAAACAAAAAGCAAAGACAGGTTAAAGCCTTTCATTTAAATGTTCATGAAAACATTCACTGCAGATATATTCTGCACATCGATATGCCCACCCCAGGGTGCTAGTCACTAGCTGTGCTCCCTAGCTGCTCCTCCTTCCCCCACAGACATGGCTGCATTTCCAAGGTGCCTGGGGAGCCAACTCAGTGACAGACAGTCCGTTGAGCTCCACAACACTGGGATGGAAAGGCTAGTCTTAGAACACACTGCCGCTAGCTAGGTTGGCAGCTTGACCCAGTCATCCCAGCTACATGGGCAGCTGAGGCAGGAGCATCACATGGTCAACCCTGCTTGGATCACTGGGAGAGTTCCAGGACAGCTTGTCTACCATAGTAAGACTTTGGCTCAGAATAAAAAAGTAACACAAGCCAGCATTTGCTTAGCAGGCGCAAGGCCTTGGAGTTGATACCTGTGCTGAAGAAACAAAGGAACACAGAAAGGGTTCCCGGCCCAAATGTTACCAATGGACTGGACACCTTACACTTCACCCAAAGTACGTCCCACAGGTCACTGAGACCACCCTGCCACACCCCGCCTCCACCTGACTGTGGGGTATATAACTGACCCTCCCCAACCTCACAGGAAGGTGTCATGTGCATCTTCATTGGTCCAACATGGCTCTGCTCTGATGTTGGGTCCAACCCTTTTCTTTTCAACCCCAGAAGGAGTGGCTGGTTTACACATGTAGTGTCATGTCTTATGACTCTAAGCACTGACATGACACTGAGCGCAGGGAACGGTGGTGTGAGGAGAGGAAGGCAGGGTCCAGGAGAAGGCCATGAGCCCTCGTCACCCCTCCAACCTCTGGCTCTGGGAGGCAGCTGCAGGGCCTCAGTTGTCATGGCAGCTTTACCTCCCTCTCTTCAGGACTAGGTCGTACATAAACTACATCCATGTACATTAGAGAAAGCATGGTACCACGTCAATAACAACAGCAGGTGTTAACTGTTGAGTCAGAGTGTGCACTGGATGACTGGTTCAAGTGTTCTTCTGTCCCACGAGTCACTCCAGTTCTTCCAATAGCCAAACACATGCCTGGTTTTTCTTTTAAAGATTTATTTATTTATTTATTTATTATATTCATATGAGTATACCATAGTTGTCTTCAGACACACCAGAAGAGGGCATCAGATCCCATTACAGATGGTTGTGAGCCACCATGTAGATGCTGGGAATTGAACTCAGGACCTTTGGAAGAGCAGTCAGTGCTCTTAACTACTGATCCATCTCTCCAGTCCCCTAACCCCCATCATTGTTTATAAATGAGGAAAATCTGTGTTTGGAGGTTAGGAGTGAGGCTCAGGCAAACAGGATCTACAAATGTAACCAAGGAAGCATGCTGTCTCCCGTAACAGAGTGCTGAAATAATACAAATGTAAAAATAAAACAAGCAAACAAACACCAAGTGTCTGTAGACTACGGACTGAATTTCTCAACTGTTCTGACTACATACTGGAACATTCTCCCATCACCTAATGAAAACAGATACATAAAAATGCCAGAAACAGCTCCAGGTACAAGGGTAAATGTCTGCAGCTGGGATGCTCTGAAGTCTGTGTAGGTCCATGCACACTAGCATATGTGGGTAGCCAAAGATGAAGGGAAAAATACAAAAGCAAAACCACATGATGGCAAGAGGAGCTGAGTCTGTCTGGGATGGAGGAGTGGTGGGCTTTTGTCTGCACCAGAGGCAGTGGAGTAGAAACCTCAGGTGCTGTAGGACAGGCTCTGGGCGTGGGGTATGTCCTGTGCTTATTGACTGTGCTTACTGACTTGGGAAACCTGGAGAGCTTTCTTCCTCTGACATCACCCTCTTAGGGTTTGTCACTTAGGCATAAAGTCTCCCAAACACAAAACGTGATGGAGGGGTTCCTGGCTACCTGACAGATGAGGCAGAGGCAAAGGGAAGCAAGCATAGACAAGTCAGGACAGCAGACAAGTGGCAGGAGAATGATCAAGGCAGCCACTGAGGAGCAACACGGAGCTGGGGAGTAAGGGGAAGCAGCTGCAGCAGCAGGCCTGAGGGCTACGCTTCTGAGGGTGTGCACATCTAAAGACATGAAGGAGCTACGCAAGGACTTCAAGGGTTGAGGGTGTGCAAACAAAAATGGATCAACAATACAAAAAACACCCTTACTATTACTATGTGCTAGGTTCAGTTCCACGTTCTTCAAAAACAATTCTCTGATTCTTTACATGATGCCCAAGAAAGTATTTCTTAGGAACTTTAATTTTGGAGGTGAGGGACTCACGACCTGGGAATGCCAAGTTACCTGTTCCAAGTAACTGTGGGAGCCAGGGTGTGACCCAGGTAGGCTGTGTGACTTGGAGTGCAGGCACTCTGTACTGTCTGTGGCCTCTTCAATGCTTAAGAAACAGTACACTTATGTAACCATGCCATGACAACATTCCAACAGGTTTTCTTAAATACATACAAAGCAGAATGACCTCTAGACCTGAGGAAGTGAGAAACTTTCAGCTCACTGGGTGCCTGCTGTTATGTATATGGTGGGTGAGCTTTCTTCTTCAACTGTATGTGAAGTATGGGCTGATATTTATGGATGAGGTGGAGGCCTCTGTTCATTCAGACCACTGGCTGGCACAGTGTGTCTGCCAAGGGCCAGAAAGTAAATATTTCAAGCATTCGGGGTCTGTGTATTCCAATGGCTCAGTTCTACCAATTCAGCTTACAGCTCCAAGGTAGCCACATGTAGACACACGGTTCTGGCAAGTGTATGTTTATTTACAAACAGGGTCAAAACAAGAGGGAAATAGATTGCTGACCCCTGAAAAAAAAACAGTCCTGGGACATGCCCATAACCCATTAAACTGGCTCAAGTCTGTAGTGTCTTTAAATGGAATGTCATTATGAAGGCTAAAGGTGGACATGGGAGGATTTTAAAGAGGCAGGGCAGACTCCAAGACCCCAATAAAGATGGAAATCTGAGGACCTGGAGACAGGAGGATAAAGGTTGCAATATGAGGCAGGCTGACAGTGGGCCTTACACAGAACCCAGCATCTTTGCCAAGCAGAAGCGTGCAGAGATAATCAAGCAATAAGGTTTTTAAAAAAGGTTCAAAACACATCAAAATGCTCAGAATTGCAACCTCCTTCCACCAAGGTCTGAAGTGGCTTCTGGGTGCTCACCCTCTGGGAGCAGATACCACCTGTGTAGAAACAGCACCTTCCTGGATCCTCAGTAAATGCTCCCTGTCAGCAGGAACTCCAACTCCTCCCCCGTCCCAGACCTCAGAGCCCCTCACCTGCAGCGTCTGTGTCTCAGCTTCCTTTCAGCTTTATTTTTTACCAAACAAACACAAGTAAACTCATTTATAGTGCAAGCATGTAAATAATGGATCCACACGCCCACACATTACTGGGAGGCTACTTCACACCCTCCTGACCCTTTATAAATGACTTGTGGGTAGAAGTCCTTTTCTCCAGTGAACATCTTACCTTTTGAAAATGACACTGAATCTTGCTTTAAGACAAGCATCTAGACAGGGCCACTGCAAATTGTACTATACTCTCAATGCCATTTGATTAGAGAAGGGTGCTCTGTTGCAGAGTTTTGCTTCCTGTGGGAGAGACACACACTGGCTGATCTCTCCCTCCCTGGGGCTTGCTCACTGTGAGGTGGGGACCTAAAAGCTGATGTAGGCTGGATCTACAGGAGTCCAGAGGGAAGACTGGCCCAGCTTCCTGACTGCCCTGTGCCCAGCTCCATGTTCGCATTGCTTTGTTGACTGTGGGGCTGCCGTGCACTGGGGCTCCAGCTTGGGCAGGAAGCACTCTGGCCCAGACACATAGCTCTTGTGTACAGGCCTGTGTTGATGCTACCCCTGTGTCCTCAGTCTATCTCCTTCAGCCACTTGGGCTGACTCGGAATCACATGTCTCTGTTTGAGAGAACTAGAGTCCCCGTTCTTTTTCTTGAAGTTTTAAAGACATTCTTCTCTGACCCCATGGGCCAGGAGAACCACACTTTCTGAAGGCTCCAGACGGTTTCCTAGGTACAGTTCAGGCATTAGCAGGGGTTGATAACTCTTGCTTCTGACGCTGCCTAGCAGCATGACATTTTATTTAACTTGCCCACACAGTGTCACTGTCACTATGGAGGTGCAATGCTAATGGGGAACGGCTGCAGCACTGAGCCTTGGGATACCAGTGCCACCTTCCCCACTAGCTTTGAAGGTGAGCGGAAGTGGCTGGCCATGATCTGCCCTGTCCTATGTGGTCTATAGCTCATCTTCCTCTTCTAGCAAACAGAATCCAAATGTGTAAGCCAAGCAAAATACGAGAGGAACCGGCAGGAATGAGAAGCGCAGTCTTCTTTCCATGTTTCTCTAATAGATTAGTAATTTGTTGGCACCAGCTCTGACAGAAAACAGATGGATGCAGCATTAGGCACAATGAAGGCAGCAGATGCCGGGCCAACCCACCTCAGCTGGACGGCTCCTGCAGCCAAGTCCGAGAGCCCACCGTTTTCAAGTGGGTTCATCTTGGCACGCCAGCTTTGGAAAATCAGTTACGAATGAATTCAGATTTCAACCCAGCAGGAGTTACATTCAAGCACCAGACAGAGGAAGCAGTAGCTACACTCTACTTAAGTCACTGCCATTCCTTTAGGAGGGTGCAGATAATTCTGTATCTGACAAGCATGTTGGGCTTTGGTAGCCACAACCAATACTTCCAGGCCTGTTCTTAAACTGTTTCTCTTCTCACATGAGCTCTTGTGCCTGGGCCGTAAGGCTAATGATCTGTATTATCCCCTATACCGAGAAAGACAAAAGGTGATATGCTCCAGACTCAGACCTCCTACCTTGGGCAATGAAACCTGCATGAGAGTCACATGCTATAAGATATATATTCACAGGGCTGGAGAGATGGCTTCGTGGTTAGGAAAGCTGACTGACTGCTCCTGCAGGGGACCTGGGATCAGTTTCTACCAGCTCAGTCTT